TAAAAATTACATTTTGTTTTCTATTACAATGCAAAGGTTTTGTTATAACTAACTTAAGTTATACCTTAATTTGTGTTAATAAATACTTCATATTTTGCAGTAGAAATATTCTAAACATCAATTTCTTTTAATAATTTATAAAAAAATATTTACTTTAAATAATTCTTTTTCTACCCAAAAAGTGTTGTTATACTTTATTAAAGCCCATAATTTTTTTATATTATTAAAAATAAAATAATAAAATATTAAAATAAAATATTTTAAAAATAAGCAAATCTTGCTTACAAGAATTTATTTAACAAAAATATACATTTAAAATAATTTAAGTAAATAATTAAAAATTTATTTACACATTAGTTAACTATTAAAATTCTTATTAAAATTCACATTAATTCAGATTACTAATTAAAAACAGAACAAAAATATATTTTAATATTTTAAATATGTAAAATACTTGTATTTATAGTTTTAAATCCACTGTCCATATCAAAGAACCCATAATTTAACGAATTAACTACTGTCATGTTTGCTGTTAAATATTCTCAACTACAAATTAACACTTTATCCACTCTGGCTCCTTTCAACAAACTGTTTAAGATTTTAATTTATGCACAGAAATCATAACTCTGTGCAGGTACAAATATAAATTCGATTTTGGTTTAGCCATCCTACGACCGCAAAGACCGAACATGCCATTAAATCAACTCAGAGGAGACCACAACTTTGCGCAGTTTAAGTGCATTTGTAGTCAAGAGTGTGAAGTGAAGATCTTATCTCATATGAACGTGAACTTGAACGAAGGATTTCAAGTTTTATGGAAAAAAAAATTTTTTTAACAATATTAACTCAGCACTGAAGTAACTATTAATGCTCTCAGTTTAATGGATTTTGGCGTTGTTAATAAAAACATTAATGTAAACACGTTATTCAAACTGAGCAGATGGATGATCAAGAACACTTTTTGTGGATAGTCAAAATATCAGAAAAAAGAGATACTTAATTGGTTGAAGTCAGGAAAAAATGGAAGTAGGGTATAATTATCATTTTAAGAATAATATTATAACATTAAAAATGACTGCAACGTCATTTGTTTTTAATGTATCTGTTATATTTAGAATTGGTGAAATACTTCATATTTCTTGCCAGATGTAAGAATTTAATTAATACTCCCATAGACTTAATTTACTATATAAATGAAATAAATTATATACTGTACTATACTATACTTCATTTTATACAAACAAAACCGTTGCCGGTAATCATTAAAGAACCACACACTCCAATAGTAAAGTTGGGTCCAGATATAAGTGACTGGAACCTTGGTATTACTAGACATGATAGCTGCAGACTTTTTTGCGAAGAAAAGGAAACAGCAGAACACATTCTGTGTCATTGTGATAGTCTTGCCAGACTTTTACTTTGGATTTCTGATAAGGACAAAAAAAATTGTCAATTTTGAAAGTCATATTAGACCACGGTGACGGGGCATGGATGGTAACCAAATTCGTACTTTTTATTTCAGCCCATTTTAAACATATTAAACATACAATAAAAAAATCGAAATAGAAATAATAAAATTTAATTGATTTTAAATATTTAAATAATTAAATTTTATTAAAAATTTAAAACTAAAACAATCGAAAAAAATCAAATATAATTTAGGTTCACAGTTAAATAAATCATCGCGCATATAAAAAATTTCATGTCCTAATAACTTAACCTAACTAAACAGAAGGCATTCAGCCTTCCATATTAAGACCAGAATATCATTTATTAAGTAGTTCCCGATTTATGAAGGTAACAGAAATTCCCATTCTAGTTTCCTACTGATCGGAGAGTGTCACTAGACGAATGATTTCCTTTCAGAGAGAGTTGATACTCATCCAGGCCGATCAAACCCATCTTGTTTATATAGTAACGAAATTGCTCGAACCTAGGTATTATTAGACACGATAGTTGCAGACTTTGTTGCGAAAAAAAGGAAACAGCAAAACACATTCCGTGTCATTGTGATAGTCTTGCTAGACTCATATTTCGGTACTTATACTCTACCTGTCTACTTCTAACGTAATTAGGCAACATCTCTCCAAAGGACATAATGGCGTTCTTAACTGCTATTCGTCTATGGAACTAAAGTGGGTATGTCACAATAATTCTCAAAGAATGCAATGACGTGGTAACGAGTTCCCTACTCGTTTATTAAAATCCAAAATCTAACGAAAATGCTTATTAGATCTTATAATTAAACATTGAATTTTCATTGACATTTTCCTCATAATATAAAAAAACAAAAATATTCGGAGAAAATCTGTAACCGATTTTTGTGTTCAGAATGGTACATAAAAAAAATGGTACTGTAAAAAATTATTTTAATCTGCAATAACATAATTTTTTAAATTTAATTTTCATCACCTTATTAATTTTTTTTCCTCACTTTGCATTTAATTAAGTTATTTATATGCATAAATTGCTCTATTCAATAGCAATTCTTGGTGCTATTTAATTGTTTAAATCAAAAGTAATATAAACCAATTCATCAATGTCAATGTTTTCAGAATGAAACTAATTTAAGGAATAAACGTGTGAAACCTGACTTAATTTATCACATTAATCATTCTATGAAGCCTTTTGCAATTCTTTGATTTACGCACTTCGGTACAAATAAAAGCTAAAGTATTGAAGTCAAAGCAAATACCACGAAACCACAGCTTCGATCCATTGAAACTATACAAAAACTGAACTTTTTTGCAAATATATATAATATTTTATATATATAATACAATATATTTGAAGGTATATTACCACAATATTTATGTACGGGTAAACTTAACTATTTATATAGTTATAAACAGATGATATGTATATGTAAAAAGGGAGTCATGCCGCAATAAAGTGGCTTGAATATTAATAGAGTATATTGCCTTTAGAGAATTAAAACATTTTGTTACATTAATTTTTCAAAATCAATTCAAATGTGAATTTTGTGTGAAATATAAAAGCAAAAAGATAAGAGCCGCCTTGAGAAAGATAAAAATCTATAGCAATAAAAATTTCTTATAGGTATGCACCTAAAATATTTATTGTAGATTTAATATATTATAATATTAAAACTGTGCCCAAAATGCGCGTTAAACGACACCCATAGATCAAAGCAGTTGAAATTTTTGACAACATCGAATTGACGATTTAAAACCATATTCCTTTATTTTGAAATGTCTAGCAAACTTTTAAATACCCGTACTTCTGATTTTAATTATTACTTATCATGGGTTACGTCTTTCTTGGATCCTTAACAATTTGTACAACCTTGCCTACATACATGCCGCCTGGTAAGATCCGTATTATAATCTCCAGAATCAGTTCGATCAATAGACAGCTTGTTAGATGTTCTCGATTGACAAGCTTGTAAGAATTATTGTAAAGCTTGTAAAGAACTATTTTAATACATTATTCTGATCTGTACCATGGCTTAGCTACATACTAAGATGTAAGTTTCGTATGATTCGCATAATTTTTGTCGAGAAAATCCAAGTTTTCTAAATTATAAAAAGTGAATTTCTTATTATAAAATAAAATGCTACTTTGAAGTCCACAAAGAAATTGTAGACCTTCTGTTGTCATCCTATATACCTCTATAAATAGTGTGTGTCTAACTATATTGACGATAAATAAATAATATGTCGAGTTTCTGCTCTGTTTCTACAGATCCAAATTTTTTTCTAATTTATATATCCAGGCTTGAAATGTACTAATTTCTTGGTATATAATCACACACTACTTTGAAGTCCAGAAAGAAATCGTAGAGTGTTTGCTTTCTTTTTTATTAAGCTCCACAGAATGGTGTATTTCTTTGATTAGTAAGATTTGTCAAGAAATCTTCTTCATGAGCTTCTTTTATACATATAACTAAATTCTATCTATCTATCTATATATAAATTTGGACTGAGTTGTTTTTTTATATATATTTGATTCACTACCCCGAACACTTTTTCCGGTATCTTACTTGGTAATTTTTTGTAAGATTTTGCATTTGTATATAATCAGTTATGCTTTGTCGCTATATTTCAGTTTTCAAACGCCTCAACTGTGAATAAAGATGGGTTTGAAAAAATTAGTATTGGCAATTCTTTTACACAGGTATTATAATACTACTCCTCTAGTCCTCAAGTAGACTTTCTTCTATTCAAATATGTCGTATAAACTTAAGCAGATTATCGTGCACTTTGATTTTACCATATATATTTAAATAATTCCTTTTTACAAGTTGTGTTCATGGTGCTTGCAGTTTAGAATTGTATATATAAGTAATTAAAACTAATAATATTACCAAAGCCCACAGGTTTTGAGTATTTAAAAACAATGGAAATAGTCCCCCGAGAAATTCAACAAAGTAAAATAATTTTTTGTTGATCTAATTTATTGTTATTCATCTGTGATTATTGTAATAATAAATATTTATTTCTAAAGTAAATATCATTAATAATACTCAAGAACGTCCCTTTTACTATCTATCATTAAAAATATTAATCGACTTTAAGTCATTAATTGTGCTTTAAAAAAGCAATGAAATTTTTTCTCTTATCACCATAGTTTTCTTTAATAATTATATTTTTGCCCTTAATATAAAACAAAAACAAAATTAATGTATAATTTCTTCTAAATTAAGAATTCTTATACTAATTCTTCTTATACTTCCTAACGTCAAATTATTGAAATAATATACTTTAATCCTCTCTTAACACATTTCTCTTCGATTATTAAAATGCTCTTACAGCAGGTAAGACGTGCTTGGCATTGGCTTAACTTGATTAAACCAAGAAGAAGTCAAAGTGAATGAAAACCTACAAAACTGAAGACGACCACATTTGAAGCAGAGCCATAGTTTTGACTACCGTAGCTGCCATTTCGCTTCTGATTCAATATCGTGAGTGTCAGTCAATTGTTGGCAATGAAAATGTTATAAACTTCGGTAGACAACACCTTCCATTGCAGTCCGTGTTAAACCGTTGTGGAGTTTGGTTCTTTTGCTGTGATCGGCTAGTAAAAGATAAATAACAGCAAAAAGTGATAAAAAGTTGTTAATTGGAATTTTGTTCTGCCAAAGTAGATATAAACATAAAAGGATTTATTCAGTTCTTGTCACGTTTTGTATAATAAAATCGAAGAAGAAACAAAGTAGTTTGCAAGTGTCAATAAACTAAAAGTGAGGATATTACAGTGTAGACTAAAGATATAAGGATTAATTATACCTTGAACAAAGACCTTTGTAATTGCTAAACAAAAAAAAAAAACAGTGGCAGAATGAAGTCAATTGTAAGTGTTAAAAAATTTTAAATAATATTTTCAGTGCAATATTGATATTGAAATATTGATATTGATATTACTAAATTTAAAAAAAAAATATTTTCAATATTATATAAATTTTTAAATTTATTTTATTATTGTCTCAATACATTTTAATATTTCAAATTGTAAAAACTCTAAAAAACCGTTCAGAAAATCAAATTCAAAACGTTCTACTGTCATAAGACGAGGTCATTGACTGTAGTCTTCAACGTGCGTTACTTAATAAACTAAAACCGTACTTTCTTCAATATTATGTTAATATGCATATATTTGTATATTAAAAAAGTAAATAATAATATACTTTATTTAATTTTATGTAAATTAAAATAAAAATTAATTAATATTTACAATATTTAAAATAAATATTTATACTTTCGAAACCCTTAATTAAGTTTGTTTCTTAAGTCTTTTGTACTTGTTAATTTTGTTCTATATTCCTTACCTCTTTGTTTTTGTATGCTTAACTTTCACTCATAAAAGAATTCATATATTGTGTCTGTCTCAATATATTTCAATAAACGTAAGCAAATTAGTTAAAGTTCATTAGTAAAAAAAAACACATTAAAATTTTAAATAAAATGTATAGATTTATGTTTATCTTGCTAATTAAGTAGTGAAAACTTTTAGAACTTGCGTCTGTTTAGCATATGAAAAGAAGTTTATAATGGCTTTATTTTCGAAAGTCAATAGAAGAACAAAAATATTTAAATTTTATTAACAAATTAAGTGAAATTACAAAAATCAGAACTTATATATGCAAAATTTTATAGTTAACGATTTTTTGTATTGAAATAAAATTTTACTATTTATGTGCAATAAATTTGCTTACTATCAACTATCGCTACGAATGTATAAAAAATCTTCAATCTTCATTGAAGATTAAGTCATAAATTAAAAAAATAAGCTTAAATACGATTTACCCTATTAAATGGAATTCGGAGCAATTAGGAAGAAAACACTTCATATTGGTGATGCATGCAGTTAATACTCACATTAAATTAACTCAAGACAGCATTTTTCTACAAGAAAAACAGTATAAATATTTACAGTATTCAAAATATTTTATTTGAATATAAAAAAATATAACATATACAACAGTAATATAACTCAGATATCAATACAATATATTATTATTAAACTGCATAAGCTCGATTGAACGAGTACAGTTTATCTACATGGGTATCTAGCAAGGAATATGGTAATCAAATAGAAAATAATTGCTTATAATGTATGGCAGAAGGGTATCTACCTGTAATGCACTGCAAAGAACCCATAAATTAAGGATACCTTATATGGAATGACATTTTACAAGGACATATTATATCTTGTGCCGTACATTAAATATGTATATTAAAAATTATAATGTTGTCGTTAGTGTGTTTATTTATGAACGTAATATATAATTCTCAAACCAATATTCATATCGGATTGTTATCGGAGACGAAAAACACACAGATAATTTTTTTTAATTCAAGGTTACGTACATCCATGTAGCTTTAATATATAATATAAAACTATTTCAAAAATTACATAGTCAAAAATTTCAATTTAATTTAACCATAATTAATCTTCAGCCAGTGGAAATATTTAATGAGTGTTGAATAATATATGGATGGAATGCATCATTGTTTGTGACTGCCTAGAACTGATTTCAAAGATTCCAGACCCAACAACCTATGTAGGAAAAATATTGCTAAGGTCGCCGAAAATCTTCGGTTTAAATGTAAGTGTCTCTTAGGTCAAGTCTAAAATTATTGAAGATCGCCATAAGAAAAGATTTTTTATGGTTGTATTGCGATTATTAAGCAATTCTTTTGAATGCACGCAGCCATCAGTACAATGACTTTTATATGAAACCTAAAAAAGCCGTGTCTGCATTTTGCTCAATATTTTCGTTATAAATATAAAAACGTCTATCATTTTGAATAAAATTACAACAGGTGTTGCAGCACTCGTGACAAAGTAGCAATCTATGGCATGGAGCCTAGACTGTGCGGAATTACTCGTTACAGACAGCCAACAAAATTAATAATGTTAATTTACTTTATTAGAGAAAACTTCAATGCTGTTATTTCTCTGAAGACTAGAGTTTTGTATTACTATAAAGCGCCAGTTCACAATACTGAAGATATGAATAACTTTTTTGCGCATCTCAGGACATTCTCCCTAGTCCGGAGAATGGATTAGTCGCTATAAATTTGAGAGGAAAGGTTTTTGGCAATAATAAGAAAATTATTAGTGCAGTTAATCTCAAAATTGCAAACATAAAAATAATGCGATTTAGAGGACCGTTTTAAAAAATAGAGCCAATAAAAATTTTGTTAGTCTCCTCGTATATATATATATGGAATCCTTTAACTCCTAGGGGGAGCATTGGGCCTCGAAAATCTTCTATTTAAGGATTATTCAAAGGATTTAACATAACATATTAAATGGTTGCATTTATATATATATGATTGTATTTAAATGATAAGCATTTATATTATTAAGCATTTCTATAAAAAAGTTTTTATTACGGTAATTTAATTTTCTTTTAATCGCGTTTTCTAAGTTTAATCTTGTTTGCAGTTTCAAGCAATTAATTCATCTAGTTTCTTTTCCAATATTATTAATAGTATTCCAATATTAATATCATTTAATATTCCCTGACTTCGACAAATGGTAATATGATGTCAATTAAACCGATTCATTCTATAATGACTTTTCTTTTTGATTTTTTTTGTACAAAGTTTTTTTAAGCGTTTGTCTTTGCCACTAATTATCACTTCTATATATACATATATATATATATTGCTTATTTTGCGTTATTGGCTGGTACTTTGGTTCTTGTTTATTTTAATTTTACTAACTGAAAACCGTGGAAAGATTGGCTTCATAACTAATATAAAATCAATTTCGTGGAAAAATCCATATGTATTGTGTTATTTTAAAAACAAGACATAAAATAATTAAGTTCTTAATTAATTATTAATTAATTAAATAATAAAATAGAGTTGAGAGTTTTTTTTACTTTATTTTGCCAAATATTAACTTGAATTTCTTTTGTTAGAAAATTTATATTAATTTTGTCTAGAGTATTTAAATATAGAACATAGACTATGGCCTAGTAATTTGCGTTAATTGTTAGTTCTAATTATATTTTATTATTATTTCAATGACAAATTATAGTTTTTATGTAATTTCAAAACATATTGGATTATCTAAACAAGATATAAATAATGGTTTTTTTGTTGATCATGTAGAAGTATTTCATGTTTTAGATAATTTTCTTATAAGTTTAACTAACATAAATATGAAAATAATTATTACCAAAGAAACATCAAATAATTGTGGTTTTAATGCCGTAAAATTCTTTAAACTTGTTTTAAACTGATACATATAAATAATAATAATTATGTATGCATAATACAATAAATAATTTTATGTTGTAATAAGTATGTTGCGTAAAATTATATATACATATAAATAATTGTTAGAAATATATATAATTAAAAAATTAAAAATTAAATTTTTATTCTTTCAATGCGGAAATGAAATTTAGTTTTAGTACACAAAAAAATTTGAGGATATTAATCATTTCACCAAAATGCGTAAAAAAGGCATTTTTGTGCGTCAGCTTAATAAAATTATAAAAAAAATTATCAGGAATTTTACTGAAAAAATTGAAAGCAACAAAAACTGTTTAATAAAAAAGATTTCAGATTTAATTGTTTAATAATTTTTGGATTTAATAATTCTAAAGGCGTACACACTACCACATAATGTAGCAATAAAGCAATTAATATGCATAAGCCTTTACCATATATATTCAATTTAAATATATTTTTAATAATCAATATGAAAATTTTTTCTAAATATTTTTGTTAAATTTGCTTAAAAAGATATATAACCATATATTGTATATTGTATAAATATATAGATAGCATTCCTCTCATTAATACATTCATTTACTTTTGTCCTTTAAGCTTTTCATATTTAGTCAATATTTAAATTCTAGTTATCACAATGAGAGTCCAAATAAAAGATCTATGTAAGCCGTTCGTCTTGTATGACGAGCTGCCACCAGTAAATTCTAATCAATATGCAAATATTAATAATATCTTGCCTTACCGAAATGTGTGATGATGATGAACTGGTTTATAAAGAAATAAAAAATAACCATTTCAGAATTATGTCAAATCCAGCCGGTTAACCAGCTTAAAAACCAGTCTAAGAGTCATTCTTATACTTTCTTTTTTATTAACTCAAATTTTATAGTTTGCTACATTTCTTTTATATTTGAAATTTTTTTAAAATAAAAACAATGTTTGTAAAATGAAAGTTTTTATTTAACTACAAAAAAAAAAAAAAATATTTGGGTACATTTTACACAAAAGTGACGTAAGACCAGAACCAATATAAGAATATTAATAAGAGTTAAAGGGACTTTACAAACAGCTTAAAAAGTCTTGAAGAGAGACTCATTAGACTCATGTGGTCTAGTGCATAAAAACCAATGGCTTTAATTAATCCTTAAGCCTGGTGCTTTAATTCACTAAAAATAAAAAAAACATAAATGGGTAGAGACATCATGAAGCACATTGCCGCTACGGATGACTGACCAAGCCTTAGAACCAAGTCACAAATCCTAATTGCAAAGGTGTTTAAGTGAACTCGTTAGAATAAATTTTAGCAAAAGATAAGATAACGTAATTGACAGATAAGTATGAAAGTCTAATTTAGATTTTCAATCAACTGTAGCCGTTGACATGGTTTTGTTTTGTTACATACATTGTAAGATAACAAATTTTGTTGAAATATTAGGTCATTCTGTGGTATTCAGTCATTTATGGAATACTGATAGAAAGCAATCGCAATGGAAAAAACCGCTTCCATATTTCAGACAGAGGTCCACGCCTTATAACTATGTGCGAGAGTGTAGCTACGCAGGGGCACCCGAAGTACTAAAATATGTATTCTGTTGGACA